GGTATATCCAGAGTAGAGCAACTAGGGTGATGACAGGACTGGAAACCAGGCCCTACAAGGCTCTGTGAAAAAAACTAGGGGTGTTTAGCTCACAGAAGAAGAGTCTAGTTAGGATTGTTGTAGGCAAAGGCAGCTAGGGGGTGAAGTGGACAGAGCATTGGGTCTGGAGTTCAGAAAGACCGGAGTTCAAATCTGGCTGCAGAAACTTATTAGCTATGTCCTGAGCAAGTCATTTTTGCCTCAGTTTCCTCATCTGTAAAATGGAGATAATAGCACCTACCTGCCAGAGTTGTTGTAAAAATCAAATGAGATAATAATTATAAAGCGCTTAGCACGAGGCCTGGCACGTAGTAGGTGTTATATAAATGTTAGCTGTTATTGTCATTATTTTTATTATGGTGAGACCACAAATGAGAGCTGTATTTCAGGTATCTGAAGGGCTGTTATGTAAAGGAAGGTTTTGATTTAGGATTTTAGGATAGAAGGGACCTTAGAGGTCCAATCCTCTCATTTAATAGGTAAGGAATCCGCAATCCAGAGAGGATCATGGGACCAGCTATCTAAAGCGGAATGAGATTTTAGAAGTCATCAAGTTTAATCCCATCCTTTCACAGATGAGGAAATAGGTCTAGAGAGAGAGAGAAAATGACTTGCTTGTGGTCTCACAGATAGAAAGTGCCAGAGCCGGCATTTGAACCCAAGACCTGTGGATTGGAGGCAGCCCAGTACAATGTGAGTGCTAGCTCTGGGCTCAGAAGCCCTGGACTAGAATCCCAGTTCTGCTACTGTGTCACCTGTGTGACTTTGGGCAGGGCATGTATCCTTTCTGTGCCTCAGTTTCTCATCTATAAAATAAGGGGGTTGGTCTAGATGACCTGAAGGGTCCCTTCCACTCCCTAAATTTATGATCCTGACTATAGGTTTGGGCGTTCTCGCTAACATCCCCTTCCCCAACCAAAGGGTCACGTGCCTTGATGGACACACAGTTAGCCTGTGTCAGAGACAGGGCTTTACTTTGAGGTAACTCCTCTCTCTCTTAAAAAAAAATAATTGCCTTGATTTTTGTTTTTTTAAAAATCACCGACATTTCCCAATACATCCCACACCCATAACCCTGTCAGGAAACCATTTCTTAGAATGAAGAATAAAAAGGAGGGGGGGAGGTCTAGGCAAATTAATTGATAAATAAGCCTGATCTCCCCCAACCCATGAGAAAACAAAAAGAGGAGGGAGGTGCATTCTCTTATCTCCTATTTGGGTCCTAGCTTGGTCATTGTCATTTTAATTTAGAGGCATCAGATGATGGAGTGCTGGACCTAGAGTTAGGATAGACCTGAGTTGAAATCCAGCCACAGATGCTTAGTAGGTGTGTGACCCTGGGCAAGTCACTTAACCTCAGTCTGCCTCATCTTTCCTCATCTGTAAAATGGGGATAATAATAGTACCTACCTCCAGGAGAAGTAGTGAGGATCAAATGAGATACTTGTAAAGTGCTTAGGAGAATGCTTGGCATGTAGTAGGCACTTAATACACATTGATTGGTTGATTGAGAAGGCCACCAAAGATAAGCTTCCTTGGATTCTTAATCTGGGCTACCCCAGCCAAGGGCACCTCTCAGCCCCCTAGAAAAGGTTATCCATTAAGTTCCCTTAAGATTTCTTTCTCTTAACCATTAATTCGACAGACATGTTAGGTACCTACTGTATAGACAGCACTGATCAAATAAAGTTCTCATGGAGCCAGGGTCAGACAGTTCAATGATATCTCATTTACCATGGGCTGGTCTAATGGGCATGCCTGAGTACAGCTAGCCTGCAATGACCCTGCCCTGCCTAGGAGGCAAGATGAAGTCACCTCGCCCCTCCAGCTGGTGGGGATGGATGAATTCCCCAGAGGGAGGGAATGCATTTGCCGTGGAACCATCTGAACTCTTTGGCAATTCAATTCAACTTAGCAAGCATTTTTAAAATGCTTACTCTCTGTTAGGTGGGGCAGCTACATGACATAGTAGATAGAGTGCCAGGCCTAGAGGCAGGAAGACCTGAGTTCAAATCTGGCTTCAGGTACTTACTAGCTATGTGACCCTGGGCAAGTCACTTTACCCTGTTTGCCTTAGCTTCCTTATCCTTAGCCTGAGAAGGAAATGGCACTTGTTCATCTTTACAATGCTGTTGTAACATAGATTGTTCTCCTGGTTCTGTTCACTTCACTTCGCATCATCAGTTGATACAAGTCTTTTCTTTTCCTGGAACTGTTTCATTTCTTAGCTCGCAATAGTGCTTATTTATAATTGTAACTCTCTACTACCTCTGCTCCCCTGTCATGGGAAGGAGCAGGTAAGAAGTCGTGGTTCTCATGTTTCATATTGGTCCCATCCACAAAGCTTCAGAAGGTGATTCCACCATCGCCAGTATCTCTGCCCAGAAAACCCCAGATGTGATTGCAAAGAGCCAGACATGACTGAACAAAACCTGTTAGGCACTGGGCCAGGAAACTGCACTGTAGTGGAAAGAGCCTGTGACCCGAAATCAAAGACCCTCAGTTCTCATCCTGCTGCTTCTCCTGATCTACAATATAACCTTAGGCAAGTTTGCCCACTTCTTTGTGCCTCAGTTTCCTTCTCTGTCAACTGAGGGGCTTGGAGAAGCTGATCAATAGAGATAGGGACAGGAAGTATGATTTCACTGGGATAGAGATCTCCCAGAGGAGGAAAACCCCCTTCACTAATGCAAGTTGGTCTCAGAGTCACCTAGATCACTGAAATGTTAACATAGACAGAATGAGACTCGAATCCGGCTCTTCCTGGCTGTGAGAGGGACTCTCTATCTACTGATAATAAGATCTGTTTTTCAAAAAAACTCCTGCTCTAAGCTCTATGGTCCTTAGCAAGCCGGAGTGGCCTTGGCCTGAGAAGAGTAACCCTGCCTCTTCCGAGGCTGTCCCGCCCATGGACAATGGGCCCCAGCCTGAATCAGTCTCAGGGCCGGGCCGTGTCACATGGCCCCCCGAGGAGCAGGGACACATGGCTAGAATGGAATCTGCAGGCTCTGCAGCTGGGGCTCATGTGATTCTCATCATCTCTAAACCTGAGTGGGTGGGAGGGCTCTCCCCCACATACTTGTGCTGTGTGTCAGTTCAGCAGAGCAGGCTGGAAGGGGGCGGGAGGGGCCAGAGGTGGGGGCCAGTGGTGGTGGGAACTGGGTGGGGCCATGAAGGACATGGAAGGGCAGGGGAAGAGCACGGACACAGCAGCTATTCATTCTTCTCATTCCAGATGAGACAGTGGCCTCTGTCCCTAAGGACAGTTGGTGATCTCTCTTACATTAACCTCACCTTCACCCTCCTTGGTTCTTCCAAGGTCTTTTCCCCAAAGGCTGGATTTTCTGTTTCCTGATATTTGACCCTGGGAAAAGTTTTTTCGAGCCTCAGTGATGAAAAGGCAAGTTTCCCTTCATCTTGGTTAATCTCCAAGTGGAGGTCTCCAACAAAGAGGGGTCCCCTGCTGCTCAGACAGCATATGTACCTCAGAGCATGAATGCTGCTCAAGGGGTCATGGCAAAGCTTGGGAGGCCCAGATTGAGGGGAGCCTAAGAAGAGAGGCAGAGAAATGAGATGGTGGAGATAACACTGGCTTGGGAGTGACAGGACATGTGGATGGAGCCAAGCTCTGTACCATGGCAAAGGTAGAGGTCCACCCAGAATTCCCTACACCGATGAAATCAGAGGTCTGATTTGTTTTGAAAACATGGGTGATTAACCTGCTGTTACAAACAGCAGAGACCCAGAGTGACTTGCCCATGAACCAAGATTCTGTCTAAGCCACACTGTCTTCTCCTTACCTCCTTGTTTTGGAGGGCATGTTTGATTGTGAACCATCTCTAAGTTTAGTGTTACTGCTGTGGGTGTCCTCTGAAGGTCTCCCCCAGGTTGGAACAGCCCTGAGCTGGTTTCCCAAGCCTCAGCCATGGGCATAGCTACCATGAAGGACTCCCGGGGGGTTGACTCCGTCCTGTGGCTGGACCTGGTTACCCCAATCCCAGTCCTGCTTTGCACTTTGAGAACAACTGAACCGAGGTAATTCATTTGAATGAGGCTCATCCTGAGCTGACCAAGGTCTTTTCCGTGGCCAGCTTCAGGAAGGAGTATCCTGGACTCCCAGCAGAGGGCACTCACACTGCTGGCATGCTGGGTTGGCTCACTGTCTCTGGGCATAACTCTTTTAGAGGTGTTCTGCCTAGGAAAACACAACGTCACTTGCTCTGCGGGCATACAATCAATATTGGTTGATGGAGATGATAGCAATTTGGCCAAGTAGAGAGTATCAGTGTGCCTTAACCTGGGAATGTATGCTGTAGGATTTAGAGATGCCATTTGGTCCAACACCTACATTTTACAGATGGGGAAACTGAGGTCCAGAGTGATTTTTGTAACTTGTCACACAGGTAGCAGTTAGCAGATCCAGGATTCAAGCCCAGAACCCAGATCTGCCCCCTAGTCCAATGTTAACATAGACTTGTACCAACTAAACCATAACCTGCAACAAAAGATATACCATTTGTTAATGGTTAAAGCAACTGGATTTCTTCTGCAATGCCTCACAGTGGCACGGAGAGGAGTCTGTGTTCTCAAAGGCTAGGTCAGCTGAGGTTTGATGGCATTGTGGAATCACAAAACCTCAGATTTGGAAGATACTACATAAGTTGGGCAGTCTAACTGGTGCCTGAAAAAAAAAGCAACTTTTCCCTTCCCCTGCAAACTCTCTGACAGGTGTTGTCCAGCCTTGGCTTGAAGATGTCTGATGAGAGGAGACAACCAGCTGGAAAGAGTTTGAGCACTGCAGCTGTGATAGGCTATGTGGCTAGAGCTCCCCAAAGTCAGGGCTCTGCACACAGAAGGAACTTAATCATGGAGCCATGGAGAGCTTCAGCATCATCTGTTCCAGGGATTTTTAACCTGATGGTCTGTGAACTTAAAAAATTTGTTTTTGGTAACTTTCAATGTAACTGATTTCCTTCATAATCCTATGTATTTTATCTCATGCATTTAAAATCATGATTCCAAGAAGGTGTCCATAGACATCACCAGGCTGCCAAAGAAGTCCATGACCTCAAAAAAGGTTAAGAACCACTGGTCTAGTCTAGTTAAGAACCAGTGAGGTCCAGATCAATGACTTGGCCAAGGTCATAGACCTTGTAAGTGACAGAGCCCGTATTTGGACCCAGATCTTCTGACTCCAAATCTTGGATGATTTCACACTGCCCCTTGCTCATTGTGGAAAGAATGGTTGAAAAGGCAAATTGAGGCAAGCACCCACCATTTTACCCAGTTGCATGTACCAAATGAACACTTGTCCATAAGTTAACGTCACCCTCACCTCAATGATGTAATCTCTGCCATATTTTCTGTGAACAGCTTTGACGTCACAGATGTCCAGGCCCCCAGATATCTCTGAACAGGAGTCCACCTACAGCTTATACCTACAGAGAGCACAGAAACGCTCAGGCAAGGCTATTCCTGGGCTTCTTCAGGAACCCGAGGAAGGGAAGAGACCATTCCCAGTGGGCTCACCAGATTTAGAATCGGCTCCATGGGCTATTTTCCCCTGGGAACATGATGCTTCCCCATTCTTAGAATCCAGAGGGTTCCACCATCTGCCCTTCCCTTGGGACCAGAACAGGCATCCCCTGGACAATGGGCCCATTCACCCTGCACTGCCATTTGGGGCTGAGAGGAGGAAAGGAGCAGGGGCTGTGGCCTTAAACGCTTTATTCTCCCTTCAGCCACTTGATTCTAGAGTCAAGTTTGCTCTGTGAGGAAAAGATCTCCAAGCTGTACTTTCACCCCTGAAACAAGGGGATGTTTGTATCAAGGGAAACCTCTGGCTACACGTTGGCCTTGGCTCCAGGCTGGAGGATTGGGGAGTCACAGGGTGCTTTGTGTGGATGCAGCACCCCTGCCCTCCCTTCCCCTCAAGTCCCATGGCGGGGGGGCTGTTACTCTGAACCCTTGGTATTGGAGTCCCCTTCCATCCCCCAGGCCTGGAAGTAGAGAATTATAGTTATTGCATCTAGAGCTCAGAGAGGATATTAGAAATCCTCCGTGCTTTGGGGATAATTTTAGTGGAAATCAGCCTTTTTGTGAAATGTCTTAAGATCACACACAGAACATTGGAGCTAGAAGGTTACTGGGTCCAACATTTCATTTTGGAGGGGAAGAAATGGAGGCATTGAGGCTGAGTGAGGATGGGGAAGGCTGGAAGTCATGAGAGTTGGAAGGGATGTTAGAAGTCATCTCCAATTCCTCTGATTTTCAAGGGGAGGAAACTGAGGCCTGGGTGGGTGGGAGGTCTTGCCTGAGGTCACACAGTTGATATCATGTCAGTGGTGGAACTTGAACTCAGGCCTTCCTGACTCCAAGGCTGGCTCTCTCTGCCCCTCACCAGTATATGTTCGTCATAAGGAATTGGAGATCATGATGGAGTAAGGCAGAGGGGAGCCTTGGACTGGGGTCTAGGTGTGGTGAGCCCCAGAATTGCCTGGATCTCTCTTCTACAAGTCACTCGTATAATCTTCCAACTCAAGTTTATTCATGTGGGACATGGATGGGTGGGAGTGGGGACTGGGCAGAAGGCAACCTTAAACCCACGCAGGCTCTGTAATCATGGGATCTGGGTACCTCTTTTTTTGTTTTTGTATTCCCAGTACTTAGAATAGCACCCAGCACACAGTAGGTGCTTAATAAATGTTTACTGATTAATAGTCCTTGTGGTTCTATAACATTAGCTTTTCATAACAACCTTATGAGGTAGGGGCTATTATCATCACCCTCATTTTACAGATGCACTGAGGCTTAGAAAGCTTTTAGGATTTGCCAAAGGTCACTCAGCTTCTGTGTCTGAGGCAGGACTTGAACCCAAGCCTCCCTGATTCAAGGTCTGCACTTCCATCATAATTCCTCTCCATGCTTACTAACTGCATGGCCTTGGGAAGTCATTACCCCTCTGCAGGCCTCAGTTTCTCTAATGGTAAAATGAGAGTCCCTCCCAGCTCTCAGGTCTACGCACCTAAGAGGGTCCTTCCCCATCCCGCCCCTCCACCCCAGACATCCAGGATGATCAGAGGCCCCTGGAAAAGCTTCTGAGTGAAGGGGCATCCAGGGAATTTGCTCTGCTTAATATTCTGAGGTCGTCTCCCCCTCTCAGGAATGAGTACCAGGTAGCAGTGTGTGCATGCAGGGTAGGAGTTCAGGGTGGGCTGTTTGGGGTGAATAGATCAGAAATCAGCCCATGGCAGGCTCCATCCCGCCTTCCCTGGGTAGCCGCTGAGCCCTCCATCTCACAGGGGAAGCTATGGATGAGGAGGCCATGGCTGAGATAGAGGCCTAGCTAGAACTGGACTTCAGAACACCAGGATTTCTTCTTTAGGCTGGTGGGCTTCCTAAGTCATCCCAACCTAACAAAACCTATCAACCTACAAACCCTGGCCCTGCAAAGGGGTGAGAATGGGATCCTAGCCTCCAATCTGAGGTCATTGAGGCCAAGGCTTTCTGTTACTGCCTGTGAGCTTGGGATCTGGTCTGAGGTCCCCACGTGAGTGACAGACAGGAGATAGACCCCAATTCTCCCACTACATAGTCACCACTCTATCCTTTGCAGTCTCACCACTGCTCATAGGGGCAGAGACCTAGAGTGGAAGGGACACCACCAGCCATCCAGGCTCATTTTACAGATGAGCAAACTGAGACCCAGAGCTTGGTGAAATGACTTGCCCAAGGTCACACAGTTAAAAATCATAATCATAGACTTAAAGCCAAAAGTAGAGGCCATGTAGTTCAACTCTCTTGTTTTACATAGGAGGAAACTGAGGCCCAGGTTTAAGGGACCTGCTGAAGGTCACACAGAAAGTAAATGACGAAAATGAGTCCTGAACCTGGACCTTCTGAATCCAAAGCCCCTTTCCCTTACACCACAAGCTGCCTTCAGGGAGTAGGGGCAGGTATTTCCTCTGTGCAGCTGAAGGATGTGAGAGGCTTCTGGCTCCTTCCGTCCTTGAGTTAGTCCGTCTGATGACCAGGCCCTGTCAGGCCTGGCAAGGCCTCTTTCCTTTCCTTTCCCGCCCCTACAGGGAAACTCAGGGTGAACACATCATTGAAGAAGGGAGGCAGGAGAGCCCTGGAGAGAGGAGTGGAGAGGGGATGCTCAGCTCGTGGGCCACATAACCCCGGTAGAATTAAGTAAATTCTACTTCTCTGAGTCAGCCCTTTCCCACGCCAGATCTCTGTGAAGGATACCAGGAGGAAGGCACCTCTCATCCTGGGGGATTAGGCAGCAAGTCGAGACCCCGCCCAGGACATCTCCACCCAGGCAGGTTGTTGGGCAGCTGGCAGGGTCAGATTTAATTTTCAACAGCTGAAAGGGATGATGACCGGGCCAAGAAGGCTGAAGGTCTGCTGGGATCATCCCCGAGAGGGGAAAGAAAAATATTGCTGTTGCTCGGTCATTTCCAACTCTCTGTGACTCCCATTTGGGGTTTTCTTGGCAAAGACACTGGAGCAGTTAGCCATTTCCTTCTCCAGTTCATTGACAGATGAGGAAACTGAGGCAAACAGGGTAATGTGACTTGCCCAGGGTCACACACCTAGTAAGTGTCTGAGGCTGGATTTGAACTCAAGAAGAGTCTTCCTGAGTCCACACCCAGCACTCTACCCACTGTGCCACCTAGCTGCCCAGGAGTTCTTTATGCCATCTAAATCACAGGTCTGGTATGAGAAAAAGAATACTAAAATGAAAAACATCTTGGGGAAAGATGGGTGTAGGCTCACTCCATTTTAGGCAGGAGTTCTCTGCTCCTCCCCTTACCTTGATTCAGAAGCTCTCATTCAGGAGAGAAGTCCCATGTGAGACTACCCTAGCCATCTCCTAGTAGGGTTCCCTGAAGGTTACCTCCCTTTCCAAATGGAAGGGACTTTTGAGATTATTAAGTGCTCAGTAATGCGGTTACAATGTCCTCATTGTGATGTTACAGAATGAGTTGCGGTGTCCTCATTTCAGAAATGAAGAAACTGAGGCTCAGAGCGGTTAAGTGACTTGACCAGGATCACACAGTTAGTAAGTGTCTGAAGTGGGATTCCTGCCAATGTCTGGTCCCGATCACTGAAACATCTTCCTTACTCACTTCTCACTCGTGGCCACCTGCCCTAATATGGCGGAGCCTGTGTTGACCTTCCAGTTTCCTGAGACAGATGTCCTCCTGTGTTGCAGCAAGAAAGCGCATCCAGAGATAAGGACTTAGAAGCCCATAATGATCTGCTCCTGAGAAGAAGAAACAGGGGAGTCCCTAGGACAGGCTTCTTATCCTGGAGTCCATGGGTAGATTTCAGGGAACTTAGACGAGAAAAAATTAAGCCACTTTTCAACATAATTGGCTTCCTTTGGAAACCTACGTATTTTTGGTGCATTTAAAAACTTTATGCTGAGTTGGGATCTGTAAACTTCACTAGACTGCCTGCCAAAGGGGTTCAGGCCACTGAAGATGAGAACCCCCAGTCCTGGGACTAGGAATTCTGGAATCTTCTTAAAGATCCAGTGCTTTAGGGGAGACCACAAGAAGGAGAACTCACAATATTATAGATCCTGAGCCGGAAGGGACTTCAGAATTCCAGACACTAGCTTTCAGTTGAAGAAACTAAGGTAGAGAGAGGTTAAACAATTTTGTGTCAGCATTGAAATTTGAACTCGGATCCTCTAACTCCAAGCCCAGCCCTGTGCTATGCTGAGGTCTAAATGTTCTTACATGATTAAATCAATGGAAGATGGCATGCAATTGAGTTCATAAAATCCTTGGCAAGAGCTGCATGAGTGTAGCAAAAACTAGCACAAAAAATTGGGTCTGTTTTAGGATGAAAGCAAAGCATGCAGTTTGATGAGATTACAGGGATATCTGAGGAAGTGGGAGTGAGGAAAGAGGGGTGAGGAGGAGGAGAACATGAAGGACTTAGGGAAAAGTCAGTTCAAATCCTTGCTCAGCCACTCCATAGCTGTGTGACCTTGGGCCAGTCACTTAGCCTCCATCTGCCTCAGTTTCCTCATCTGTAAAGTGGAGATAATAATAGCACCTACTTCCCGTTTGTTGTGAGGAGCCAATGAGTCAACATAGGTAAAGTGCTTTGCAAACTTTAAAGCACTACGTAAATGTTAGATGTAATTATTATTATGATATCAAATAATATTTACACATAGGATCCATTTAATCTTCACAACAATACAGATGTAAGTATTGCAGGCATTATCCTGCCCATTTAAAAGATGAGGGAACTGAGGTTGCAAGAGAGGAAGCAATTTACTCATGGTCCCAGAGCTAGTAAGTCAGAGGCAAGACTCAAACCAGGGCTCTCATGACTCCCAGGTTCGAGGTGTAGAGTCCTGGCTCTTCCATGAACTTGTTGTTTGACCTTGGGCCAGTCACATGACCTCTCTCAACCTCAGTTCCTCCATCTGTCAAATGAGGGGTTTGTGTTAGCTGACCTCCCAGCTCTAATGAGCTATGATTCTGTGATCTTGTGAGCACTTAGGACAGGGTGGCAACCACTAAGAAAATTATTCTCCGTATGTGAGGAAGGTCATTTGACGGCCACAGATGATATATGATGCCCAAGGAAGGGCTGAGCAGAGCCCAGACCTGCAGTGGGAACAGTGACATCGTGTCCAAGGGCAGAGTGCCCACATGTGACTTAATAAATGGGTGACGAGCACGTTGTGAGGGTGGATCTACAAATACACGGGGAGCCTTGAGAGATACATTGGGACAGGGCCAGGAAAATACAGCAACGAGTTATGCCTGATTGGGACCTTCTGATATCTGATAAACTTAACAGCAGCTGAGTTCAGTGGTATCTCCATGATTCCATTGAGGTCATTTTCTAAAAAGCTACCATCAGGGCCAATGCCTCTTTAACAGCCCTTATCCTCTGTGGGATGAGAGCCAGTTGTCCACACCCTCCTTCTTGAAATTCTCTCCTGTCTTAGCTTCCCAGGCACCACTATCTCTTGGTACTCCTGCCTTTCTGACCACACCTTCTGTGTCTTCTTAATTGGCCCTTCTTTCTTATCCCACTCTTTAAATGTTGGCGCGTTCCCCAAGGTTCAGCCCTTAATCATCAATATCATCATCGTCATCATTGTCATCATCATCTTCTTCTTCTCCTCCTCCTCCTCCTCCTTCTTCTCCTTCTCTCTTTGTCTCTCTCTGTCTCTGTCTCTTACTCCTTCCTTCTCTTTTTCTACCATCCATTTCATCTGACCACTCTATGCTAATGACTCTATATTTTCAACTTGAGTTTCAACTCCTCTCTCAAGCTCTGGACCTACAGAGACAGCATTATAGTGAGTAGGCTTTGGAATTGGAGTCAGAAAGACTTGAGTTCGAAATGAACTAGCTGTATAGCTTTGGGCAAATGATTTAGCCTTTCTGTGCTTCATTTTTCTTATCTGCATATGAGGGGGTTGAGCTGGATGCCCTCTAAGGTCCGTCGTAGCTCTAAATCTAAGATCTTATAATCCTGTAGTTTCAAATTGGATGCTAGATAACTCCATCTGCGTATCTAAGTCAACATTCCCCAAATGAAATTCATCATATTTTCTTCCAAGGAAACTATTCCCTCTGTCTTATTTTCTCCTCAGGTAATAACACTACCATTCTCTCAGTCACCTAGATTTAAAACTTCATTGTCATCCTTGAAATGGTTCTCTCTGCCTTTGCCTCTGTCTCCATCTCTTTCTCTGCCTCTGTCTCTGTCTCTGTATCTCTCTCTCTTTTCCCTTCTCCCATACACAATGGATGTGAATCCAAGGATCATTAAATCTTGACTTGCCCTTGATTCTACCCCATCTTACATTCATCACCTCCTTCAAATCCTCATGCTCGTAACTGGTTTCTTTGCATCCATCCAGTCTCCCACTCATCCTTAACTCGCCTCCCCCGTATTGACCAGTTTAATCTTCACCAAACACAGTACTGACTGTGGTATTACTAATTTTTAAAGATCATTCAATTTACCTCTCAGATTAAGTCTGAGCTCTTTAGGTTAGCACTCAAGGCCCTCTACAATCTCATTCCAACTTACTTTTTGAGCTCTGTGCAGACTGGCATACTAAGACCTGTTAGGGGAACCTAGGAATCAAGACCACAGTGGCTTTTCTCTCTGGTCCTCCCCCACCCCAAGTTGAATGAATTATCTCCTGGGACCTCTTAGATGAGCAGTATTCCTTTCTTTTCTAGAAGGTTACCACAAGTGTCTCATGGAGGACAAGGAAATGGGGGTATTCTTGTAAGCCCATCTCTGCCATTTTCCTCCTACTCTTGACTCTTATGGGTCTTCTGAGAGACTCCTTCCTAATCCATCTAATGAGCCATTAGAAGTCAACCATCCCTTCTCAATGTGCTGAGTGGGTCCACATCCCACAGGTGGGCCATAGAAAGAAGTTTCCCTTTTTTGGTTCCTATATTCCCATCAACCTCTGGGTGCCCAGATCACAGAGGAAAATTTTCTTTCTGCAAAGGAAGGGACCCAGGCTCTCCACCTGGCTTTTGCTAACTTGCCAAAAGAGATTAGACTTACTTTGGTAGATCCCAGAGGACAGAACCATGGGCTGTGGGTGGAAGATGCAGAGACAGATTTGTGTTTGTGGTAAGGAAAAACTTCCACACAACTGGAACTGTTCAAAAGTGGTTTGGGTAACTTTTGAGAGAGTGAATCCCCTTTCAATGGGGATCTTTAAGAAAAGGCTGGATGACAAATTGTAAGAGACTGTTACCACTACTGTTAGAACCTGTGTGGCAGAGGACATAGGGCAGTATCTAATGCTATTTAAAGGTGGTCTTCTTCACTGAGAGTCACATTGTCCACACTGTCGATAGGAGCTGTCCAGCTACAGCTGGAAGAATGGGGCTGGTCTTGTGTGGTCAGACTTAAAAATCTGTACATGTCCACAGGATGGAAGGTGCCAAGTGATGTGAACTCAACCTGCCTTTCCAGCCTGGTTTCACCTGACTCCCCTTCACACTCATAACATTCTAGGCAAACTGTATTCCTAGCTGTACCTGGTATTGGAATCTTCACCCAGAACACCTGTACTCAGGCAGGTTGTTGGGCAGCTGGCAGGGTCAGGTCTGCTCTTCAACAGCTAAAACAAAGTGGTGGCAGGGTGAGAGGGGCCGGTGGTCTGCGGTGCCATCCCTAAAAACTGTGGGGGTTGGAGGAAAAGCCATTGATAGAAGGTCTGCTTCAGTCCCATCAATCCCTCCCAGCAAATCATTCCATAAGAGAGGCAGTGTGGTATGGTAGAATGACCCCACATTTTGTGTTCAAATAGGATCTGGGTTCAATCATAGGACTGTAAATTTAGAACTTGAAGGGAGTCAACTTAGAAGTCATTGAAGCCGACCCACTCATTTTACAGAAAACAAAAATGAGGCCCACAGTTTGTCAACTGCCCAAGATTGTACAGGTGGTAAATGTTTGATGTGAGATTTAGACCTAGTTCTTTCTGGATTTAGTATATTATAAATATAATTTATATATTTATGTAAATATAAATTATTATATATAAATTCATATAATAATCAAGAGTCATAGTTTTACATATAATGTTCTTTTTCTGTTCTGCTTTGGATATTGAAATTTCTCCTTTTTTGGCATTCAGTAAATTCAGAATAAAAAAAAGCAAGAAAGAAGCAGCCACAGTGTATTAAGAAATTTTAGTTTCTCTCACCTTTGCATGCAGAGCCATAACTAGCAATTTGTGTGCCTGGGGCAAGTGATATAAAATGTGCTCCCCAGTCAAATTTGGTTGAGTGGGGTTGGAGGAGTAGGGGAGAAATCTCAAGACTGGGTAGAGCAGCTGCTGCAGGTGCCCCGCGTGTTGGGGCACTGAGCATCCAGCTGGGGAAGTGCTTCCCTCTTGAAGAAGAAAGCATGTTATCGTGTAGCTTCCTCTAAAAGAATTTTTCTTGCTAACTAAATGCAAAGTCCAGTTGTTTCTGTGCAGATAAAGAATGACAAATGCTAGTGATTCTCTTTAAATTTTGAGCCACATTTGCTTCATCCTAGTGAAGGCTTTGGCTGTGGGAATATTTTCTGTACCTCCTTGGTGGCAAGGTTGGGGTGGGGATCTATGTCTGTATTTCCCACAGAGAATAGCAGTTGGGGGTCACCACTGCTCATGTCTACCTGGGGCTATAGAAGAAGTCAGTGAAGAGACCCCAATGTAGCAACTAGTAGCAGTATGGGAAATCCACCCAGAATGTGGGGGTGTCTATATACTTGGTGGTTGGGTGACCATACCCTGCGACATTCTCTGTTTAAGACAACAGCTTTGGCCAAAGGACTTGGCTCCAAATAACTACTTCTCTACATGTGCCCTGTGCTCTAAGACAATCCTATTGTCTGTTCTTTGAACCTGCCCTGTGTTTTTCCCACCTCCACACCTTTGCTCATGCTGTTTCCTCCCTCTAGATTGCTCTCCCTCTTATTTGCCTATTGAAACTCTGCCCATGTTCAAAAGTCTAGCTTAGGAAGCCTTCCAAGAGCATCCTGCTAGAAGTGATCTCATCCTTCTCAGAAATCCTACCATGCTCTGTTTGTACCTCGCTCATGGGATTTGTCATACTCTGCCACATATTCCAGGTATGTACATGCATGTCATATCCCCTTTGCTGGATTGGAAGAGGGCATGGACCCTGTCTCACTTCTCATTCTATTTCCTGCAATGCCTGGTATAATTATAGTCATAATTTAATAAATATTTGATAATTGAATGGATAGATGAACAAATGAATGAATGAATGAGTGATGAATAAATTAATGAAGCTACATTGAGAAATAACTCAAGACCACATACTGAGAGCATCCATGAATATAAATATAGGTGTATTATATACACATACATATATATGTATATATATGTGTGTGTGTGTGTGTGTGTGCATATGCATATACACACACACATATGTATGTATGGAGGGAGGAGAGAGAGAGAGAGAGAGAGAGAGAGAGAGAGAAAGCAGAAAAGGGGAAGCAAAGGGGGAAATTGAGACATTTCCAAATAAAGTTTGAATCAGCCTAGGACAGGAGGTGGGTCTGCATGACCTAAGTAACCCTCTGGAAGAAAGGCATTGTGGTCCGTGGTCAGATAGGGGAAAAGGGCCTCGTTGGACAACAGGAAGCCAATCAAAGGAATGGTCTGTGGAGGGAGAGGCTCTTCTGGCTTCTCATTCACACAAACACCTTCCCTCGGATGTGGGCCAGCCCTCAAATCCAGGAAACACCACCGCCAATGTCAGAGAGGAGCTGTCAGCCCAGCGGAAGGCCTTACATGATGGATGCAGCAATGATGTAATGTGTACGAGGTGGAAACTGGGGCACAGAGATGTCAATGTCAAAGGAGAACTGGCACAATGGGAAACCATTGTGGGATGAAATCATCATGGACCAAAGACACAGGAGAATCCTGAGACCCAGAGTTGGAAGGAGAGGACCTCCAGAGTCGAGAAGCTCCTCTGATGGAGAAGGAAACTGAGGCACAGAGGGGGGAGGCCACGCCAAGCTGGAATTTGAACCTGGGTCCCCTGACTCTGACCCCAGGCATGGGACATTCCTGGGAGGGAAGAGCATTTCTGTGCCTCTGTAATGGCTGTCCTTCATGCGTGGAATCCTATAGACTGGAAGTTTGTGGAGGGCAGGGACTGTCTCTTTTTTTATTAATTGTATCGCTAGCATTTAACAGAGTGCCTGGCATACCACAGGTGCTTAATAAATGTTTATTGGCTTGGATTATCACCTCTATTTCTCAGGACCTCTATTCTTCAAAGCTTCAAGGTCTTTGCATCTCTAGAGCCTGGTGTCACGGCAGGCATATAATAGGTGCTTAATAAATGTTTGCTGATTGATTGATCTATTAGGAGGAGGATGGTTTTCATGAAGGGGAAGTGTAGACTTACAGGATCATAGATTTGAAGCTAGAAAAGATTATCGAGACCATCTAATCCAGCTCCCTCATGTTACAGATATGTATAAGGAGGACCTGCATCCTGAAGTAGTCAGGTCCTTACCATGAACCATGTTGATATGGCCCCCGGACCCCAGGTCGCTATTATCTGATCCAACTATGCACCGAAGGACCCTGGCTCATACCATCCACCATGATGTGGCACCATTATGCTTTTCTGGCCTTTCAATTTGCCCTGCAGCTAACCTCTCCTCCACGTGTTTTCTCCTCTAATTAGAATATGACCTTTTTTTGTTTTAAATTTTATTAACTTATTTTGATTTATCAACAATCACTTCCATATGGTTTTGAGTTTAAAATTTTTCTCCCCCTTCCTCCTCACTACCCTCCTCAAGATGGCGTACAATCTGATATAGGCTATTCATTTACATTCCTATTGAACATATTTTCACATTAGTGAAGTTGTAAGTAAAAATTAAAACCAATAGGAGAAACCATCAGAAAGAGGAAACAAAACTCAACAGAAGAGAAGAAAAATGATAGCGATTCAACTTCCATAGTTCTTTCTTGGGATGTGGATAGCAGTTTCCATCACAAGGCCTCTGGAGATGTCTTAGATCCTTGTATTGCTGAGAAGGGTTAAGTTTGTCAATATTAGGCATTGCACAACATGGCTGTTATTGTGTACAATGTCCTCTTGGTTCTGCTCATTTCACTCCGCATCAGACCATAAAAGTCTTTCCAGGTTTTTCTGAAGTCAGCCTGTTCATCATTTCTTATAGCACAATGGTATTCCATTACATTCATATACCACAACTCGCTCAGCCATTCCCCAATTGATGGGCATCCTCTCAATTTCCAATTCTTTGCCACCACAAAAAGAGCTGCTATGAATATTTTTGTACATGTGGGTCCTTTTCCCATTTGTAGAATGTGACCTTCTTGACCAAGCTGGGGCTTAGCACATGGTAAGCCCTTAATAATTGTTTTTTCATTCATTGGTCACTCATTCATTAACTGACCGTTCATTTGTTCATTGATCATTTGTTCATTCATTCATTACACTGAAGGCTACATTCAAAATTTTTATATCCTGTTGTCTGTTCAGAAGGCAACATTTTGTGCTTCCCCCCCCCAAATTTTCTAGATTCCTGTCTTATAACCAGGAGATTTACTTATTTCAAAATCTCAATAAGAGCTAAATATGATCCATGTCCCCTCTCCCTGTTTGTGAGGGGGTAACACCAAGTTAATCTATGCACTTCAGTGCATAAAATCAGACTTGTAAAGCTGGGATGGAGCGTCAAGATCAGCTCCTCCAGCTGCCTGCTTTTACAGATGAGGAATAACTTGGCCAAGCTTACAGTAGAAAAGCCTTTTTTCTCACTCCCATTCGTTTCCATTCCTACTAAATCATGTAGCTTTTACAGGAAAAACGTCCTGCCTCTGAGAGCTATCCCAAAGTGGAATGAGCTGCCTTGGGAAGTAGTGAGCTCCCCATTCCTCATAACCTTCAGGCAGAGACTAGATGGTGGCTCCTGAGGCCCCATCCCACTCTGAAGCTCTGGGAGTCTGGCCCCAGGTACATCCCACTCTGTTTCCACGGCATCTTTCTCTAAGGGACTCAAGACGCTTCCTCCTAATGCAGGAAGGGGTAATCTCCTTTCTTTTGTCTTTTATAGCATATAGGGAAATGAAGATATATGGAGAACATTCTTTGACACAATGAATGAGTGACTTGGTGACAGCAGATGTGAAGGATGTAAGGGAACGTTGGAGGGACGTCCATAGGAGGAGCAAGGAGTGGTTGGTTTTGAACATCATAATATCGGAAATTCAGAGCTGGAAGGGACCTCAGAATCAATCAGTCAGGCAATCAACAAACATTCATTTAAATGCCAGGTATGTCATCTAACACTACCTCCTTGCTTCACTTCCAAGGCATTTGAAGCCCAGAGAGGTAAAGTCATTTGTCCAAGGTCACACAGAGAGTTGAACCCAGGTCCCATGATTCTAAGTCCTTCACACTTTCCCTTGGGCCACATTGGCTCTCTGTTCCTCAGATTTCGAAGCCAGCACTCTCTGTAACTGGGTGTGGAATTAGGAGGAGGAAGGAGGTGCTGGCTCTTGGCTCCTTCTCACTCTTCAGTGGGAGCTGATTATGGACAGATGGACAGACCAGTCCTTGTGCACTCTTGAATGGGAAGTTAGATGGAACTAGCAGTGCCTGGAGGATGGAGGTTACAAAGGGCATGGGGAGAGAACAAAACCTATGGAATGAATGAATGAGAATTCTCTACAATAGTGGACCTGGACACTCTTTCCTCCAAAATGACCAGAGTTTAGAATGTAAACTCCTTGGGGGCAGGACTATCTTTTTCTTCTTCTTGTATCCCCAGCACTTAATAAATACTTCTTGTATCCTCAGCACTCCAGCTCACAATAAACATTTCTTAAGCTCCTACTATGTCACCAGCTATGTAGTCACTTACATAGTGCCTGGTACATAGTAGGAGCTTAGGAAATGTTTATTGATTGCTGCCTGACTGGGGGTTGAGGAGGTACAAAGGGGAAGAAGAAGAAGATCTCATTCCCTCCCATAGTCAGTGCCTGTATCACCAAGTGAAGCCTGCTCCCCCCATTCCTTCCTACTCTGTCCGCTCTCTCACCGTTCCCCCATCCCAGGGCACTCACATGTAGGCCTTGTCATTATTGCCAATTTTTTGGCTCTGTGTGTCATACTTGGAGTCAGTGAAGGTCTCTGTTGTGGTGTAGGTTTTGGCCGTGGCTGTGCTGGCATCCTGGTAATCACACTGGTTTTCCATTTTCACCTTTGGGAGACACAAGGCACCAAGAAAGAGAAGAATGAGAAAGCATCGGCTTATGGTGGGAAGGGATTGGAGTGTTTGGGTTCACCTGTTGGGAGTTCAGTGGCTTAGGGTGGAATCCTAGCTATGCTGACCATCACATGTGACCCTGGCTAAGTGAATTAATCTCTACAGGCCCCATTTTGCTCTTGTATTCAATAAGAGTGTGGGACTAGATGGTTTTTATGTCTCTCCATGCTCTGATATTCTCTATTCTAAGGCCTTCCCAGACCTGACATTCCCTGTTCTAAGATCCCTCTCAGCCCTGACATTCCCTGTTCTAAGGCCCCTCCCATCCCTGACATTCCCTGTCCTAAGGTCCCTACTACCTCTAAATCTTACAGTCCTATGTATGTATGTATGTATGTATGTTCATAGAATCAGTCATAACAATGGATTTGGAGCCAGAGAACTCACTTCCCACTCTGGTTTGTTACTTACTACCTGTACAACCTTCAGTAGTTCACTTAATGTCTCTGTTTCTCAGTTTCTCATCTGCAAAATAAAGGGGTTGGAGGAGTTGACCCCTTGGTGGCCCTTGGCCTCTATGGGCCATCTCTTCTGACCCTAAATCTGTGACCCTGTGACACTGGACATTAGAGCCCAGAGGAACCTTTGATATTATCTACTCCTTCCTCCTCTACTCATTTTATACGGAGACTGAAGTTCAGAGAAGGTAAATCATTGGCCAAAGTGACAGTTAAGTATACTTTGAAGCTGGCTCTAGAACCCAAGACATAAGGCTCTGAGTCTAGTGAATCTTGTGTGTGTGTGTGTGCGCGCGTTATGTGTGTAGCTGACTGTAGCTAACACAGGCAGCTGATGGCCCTGAAGGGAGACATGTGCGCTGCCGGCTGAGTCCAGGCCAAGAATGTAGGGGTCAACCCTGAGGGCTCGGGAAAGGCCCTGGGGGAGCTGTCATGGCCAAGAGAAGAAGATGAGGCCAAAGCTCAGAGATAACGATCGGAGGACATACCAGGGGCTGAGTCAGAGAATGGGTGGGCCAAGGGTTGGGGCTCTAGTAAGGACCAGGCTTCCCTTGGGGAAGGCTTCTTCCCTCCAGCTGTCCCAGAGTCCCCTCTCTGTCCCAACATGGGCTTCCTCTCTCATGCTGTCATCATTCCTCATCCTCACAAGGAAAAGGAATTCAAAACCCAGGCTGGAGGGGGGACTCGAGGCAGGGAGGGGCCACTTCCATGGCTTAGCCTGTGTAGGAGAGTCCTGGTCACAGGCTAGGAATGAGAGCAGGGCCTGGCCTTCAATTGAGAGCCCTCTCCACCCCCCTTCCTCTTACAACATCCCCTCACATCCTCTATGTCTCCACAACCAACCTTCCCTTCTATGTCAATGTTGAATGCCCTCTTCCTAAATGAGACCTTCCCCAAGTCTAGACCTTTACCTCCCTTTATATTTATGAAGCAGGATGTATACTGGCTAATTCAGCTTTGTGACCCTGCACAAGCCAGGTCCCATCCCTATCCCTAGAACCTAGCACAATATTGGGTACTTAGTAGGAGCTTAAAAAATTCTTGTGAAATTAAAATATGTCGATTCTTTTTTCCTTTTCCCAGTAAAACTCTGAATTTCTCCAGTAGAACATGACCACTGAGTTCAATCTTTTACAGAGGAGAACACTGCATCAGACAGAGGTTAAGTGACTCGCCTGAAGTGTCTGAAGCGGACTTCAGACTTGCTTCTAAGTCCAATGCTCTATCTATGACACCATGTTGCTTCCTAGAGTAGGGGGGGTTCTTGACTTGGGGGTCTGTGCACTTAAAATTTTTTTTTTGATGGCTATTTTAAGAGAATTGATTTCCTTTGGAATCCTATGTATTTTTCTTTTATGCATTAAGCATATAATTCAGAGAAGGAATCCTTAGGCTTTACTAGATGGACTGCCAGAGGGGTCTAAGACACAAAAAAAGATCTAGAACCCTGAGTATAGAGGGAAGAACAGAAAGAAGTGAGTCCTGCCTCAGCCACCAACTCTGTGTAATCTTGGACCAATCTTGTAATCTTGGGTTCGACTCAAACCAACCTTTCCCACCCTGTTTCCCTGAATTCCTTTCACAGTTGGCATTTTAAGCAAACAAGGCTGATAGTGGTTCCACAAACCCAGAATTTCATCTCTCACCTCCGTGCATTTGCCGAGGCCATGTCCTACATCTGGAAAATATTCTCTCCTCATCTCCTGCCTTTTATAATTTCAAGTTTTAGCTCAGCTGCTGTCTTCCCTTTGAAGCCTTCCCTGATTTCTTGACAGATCTAACCTTCAGCTATTAGAGTGTATTCTCCTCAAATGACCTTGTGTGACCCTGAACAAACCATTGCAACTCTCCCCTAAGAGTTAACTTGAGGAAGAATCACCTATATGTTTAATGGAGGGCGTTTTCATATAAGGACTTTCCCACATGGACAAAACCACAGGTACAACAACACATTGCATTCCTCCAATACATCATGAATCATGGAATTTTAGAAATAGAAGTGACCTCAGCAGGCCTTTTTGTGTGTGTATGAATCCTTTGGGCAGGCTAATGAAGCTTATCTCAAAATAATATTTTTAAATGCCTTCCTTCAGTTATAATCTCTGATTTATCTTGTCTTTATCTTGTTTGCACACAGTTATTTGTATTTTCTCTCTCCCTTTAGACTGTCAGCTTCTTGAACTTTGCTTCCCTTTATATCTTCCCCACATTTAGCACAGTTGCCTAGCACATAGTAGGTGCTTAATGCTTATGGACTGGCTGGCATAAATGAAAATATATAAGACTACAGAGGAAACCAATTATATTGAAATAAAAATGTGATTTGTTTTCTCCCATCGAAGTTCATCAGTCCCCCTGAAATCTATCCATGGATATCTTGGGGGCTTATGGATCCTATCTTAAGAACCCTTGAACTAGTCCAATCCATACCTGACATCCATGCACTATAAATGTTCTGCCAGCCACTCGCTGAAGGCCTCCAGGGTTGGGGACCCTACCATCTCCTACAGCAACCCATTCCACATCAGGACAGTTCCTATAGCTAGGAATTTTTTCCTGATGTCAAGACTTAAATTTGCCACTCTGCTACAAAGATGGATAGAGAGAAACATGGGAAGACTGATGTGAACTGTTGCAAAGTGAAGTCAGCAGAACCAGGAAAACAATGCATGCAATGGGTACAACAATGTAAATGAAATGAACAATAATAAAAAAGAAAGAAACCGAATGGTATGTAATTATAATGACCAAGAAAGAAATGGGGAAATGTTTCTCCCTGCCTCCTGTTGCAGAAGTAGAGTGGTGGGGACCTTGGATGTGAAACACTCTATATATTCTTTGCAATTGTATTCCTATCTGCTAGTACAATGCCTGGCACATAATAGGTGCTTAATAAAGAAGAAAAGAAACAAACATTGAGCACCTACTATGTACTAGGCTAAATGCTTTGCAAATATTATCTCATTTGATCCTGAGATGGATGTGGTTATGATTTCCAGTTTTGCCATTGAGGAAACTAAGGTCTATAGAGCTGAAGTGACTTTTTCAGGGTTGTACAGCTTGTAAGTATCTGAGGTCAGATTTGAACTCAGGTCTTCCTGACTCAATCACTGTTATTATTAACTTCATGTTGTTTGATCAATGATGTCACAGTCGGTTGATGTGTTAATTTTGCTGAACTGGTTTTTTGCTTTTCTTTTTATTCTTCCTTGAAAAGGATGCCTCACCGGGTGGGGGAAGTGAGAAGGATCTTGTCAGAAGGGGAGATGATGTAACATGAAAGATATCCATAAAATGTAAACTTTTCAAAAACAGGGTATATCCTTTGGTGAAGGCAGTGACAGTCTGGTTTTATCTTCATATCCCCCCCCGCACTTTGTATGTAGTAGGTGCTTTTAAAAATATTCACTCAATTGAATTGAGTTGGACCACAGTTCCCTTTTCTTTAAAATGAGGGATGGGGCTAGGTGGTTTCCAAGGATCTGCCCAACTCCAAATTTGAGATTGAAGGAAAGAGGTAGATTTTGATTTGTGTTTGAAGATTGCCAGATCGTTCCTGCCTTCTGCAGATATGATGGACAGCTGAGTGTCTTCCCTATCAGGATTCTTCAACCCCTGACAATGGGTGGAGATAACTCCCACCTCAATCCACATCTTCCATTTCTAAATGCTTTAGTCTGAGGCCTTGGAATGGGATGAGCTCAACTATCAACATACTTGTTCAGTCATTTTCAGTTGTATTTGACTCCTCATGACCCCGTTTGGGGTTTTCTTGGCAGAGAGACTGGAGTGGCTTGCCATTTCCTTCTCTAACTCATTTTACAGATAAGGAAACTGAGGCAAATGCGGTGAAGTGATTGCCCAGGGTCACACAGCTAGAAAGTATCGGAGGCCAGATTTGAACTCAAAAAGATGAGTCTTCTTGACGCAGGCCTGGCATCTATCCACTAAGCCACCTAGCTGCCCTCACCAACATACTTGGTCAGTCAGTTCCAATAAAGGGGAAGGTGTGTTTTTTGTTTTGTTTTGCGTGTGTGTGTGTGTGTGTGTGTGTGTGTGTGTGTGTTTATCCTGAAAGGTTAAAGGAGTTGCTGTTAACCATAGTGAGAGGATTCCCAAGCACTCTGTTCCTGAAACCTTGGTGGACCCTCATCTACAATCCCAAGCCCTCAAGACTCTGGCCAGGTTCTAGGATGGGCACTATTGAGTTAAGTAGGTCCTTCTGATCTCCCCAGTTGTTGGTGAGTGCCTGATGGAAGCCCTCCCTCAGACCACCTCCAATTTCTCTCTTCTACTGGTTCCCTTTATAAGATCAGAGATTTGGAACCAGAAGATCCCTTCCAGGGGGGCTAATCTAGTCCTCTCAGTTTACAAAAGAGGAGACTTTGGCTTGGAGAAATAGGTCGATTTGCCTAAGGTCCCACAGACTGAAAGCCAGAGAGGCAGGCTATAAACCCAAGTCTCCCATGTCTCCAGAATAGTTCTCTTCCCCATTGTCCCATGCTGCCTTGTGTCTGCTGAAAATGAAATGCAGTGAGTTCAGGAAGAAGATGTGGGATGGGATGGGGTAGGGGCAATAAATCATGGCTGGCCCCCCTTGCTCATTGCAGGAGAGACCGAGGGCTAGCCCAGGTGGCAGAGGGAATTAGAGAGATTTGGTGTGTGAATGGAGGGGAGGGATAGGACCAAGGACCATAGATCTAAAGTGGAAGGGACCCCAGGGGCCATTGAATCTAACCCCTCATTTGCCAGAGGAGGAAACTGAGGCCCAGAGAAGTTGTAATTTTACCAACACCATATCGCTTGTGTATGAGGTTTGAACCCGGTTTCTCTGTCTCCAAATCCAGGGTACTTTCCACTGGGGAGGAGGTAAAGGGTTGGGAAAGTAGAGGTAGAGTGAGGGTGGCTTACTCAAGCTCCCCAGAACAATGACAGGGTAGCCCAGGCTAGCTTGAGGGAAAGTGTATGGGGGGTTCTGTGTGAATAAGGGTTGGCAAAGTGAGGCCAGAGAGATGAGGCTTCTCTGGCATTATTCACTGGCTGGAAACCCCCTCTGAATGTTTCACAAAGAAATGCTGAAAACAGGAAATCCTAAATGAACTGTGCTCAGAGATGAACCAGGCCTTGCCCAGAGGCCTCCAGTGGGGATACAATTAACTTTCTGACTTCACTGATGCCAGCTCCCACCCTGGGAGTCTGCTCCCACCATCATTCCTCCCATTTCCTCCTCTCCTCTCCTCTCCTCTCCTCTCCTCTCTCCTCTCCTCTCCTCCCTCCTCTCCTCTCCTCTCCTCTCCTCTCCTCTCCTCTCCTCTCCTCTCCTCTCCTCTCCTCTCCTTCCTCTCCTCTCCTCTCCTCTCCTCTCTCTCCTCTCCTCTCCTCTCCTCCTCTCTCTCCTCTCCTCTCCTCTCCTCCTTTCCTCTCTCTTCTCTTCCCCTTCTCCCTCTTCTCCCCTCCTCTTGCCTCCTGTCCTTTCCCTCTCCCTCCCTCCCCCTCCCTCTCCTCTCCTCTCCCCTCTCCTTCTCTCCTCTTTATAACACTTCCCTTCTCAGTCTCCTCTCACCTCTTCTCTCTGCTTCGCTTTCTCTTTGTCTCCCAGTTTGTCTCTTTCATATTCTATCTTCTCCTTTTTTTCTTCAGTCTGTCTCCCCCATTTCTCCACTCCCTCCTCTCAGCTTCTAATCTCTCTCTCTCTCTCTCTCTCTCTCTCTCTCTCTCTCTCTCTCTCTCTCTCTCTCTCTCTCTCTCTCTCTTCTCTCTCTCTCTCTCTCTCTCTCTCTCTCTCTCTTCTCTCTCTCTCTCTCTCTCTCTCTCTCTCTCTCTAGCTCTTGCTCCACCTCCCTCTCTCCTTCCTCTCTCTGTCTCTCTCCTCTCTCTCGCATTCTTACCAAGCTGGCAGGGACAGTGATAGACAGAAACCATCAAGTGCAATCCACTCATTTTATAGATCAGAAAATCGAGGCCTAGAGAGGCTCAGGAACTTGCTCAAGGCCACACAGCTTATAAGCATCAGAGACAGGCTTTCAACCCATCTCCTGAGTCCAGAGCCTGTACTCTTTCCTCTGCCTGTCAGTGTATGACACCTCCTTCATTTGACAAATAAGGAAACCAAGGTCTACAAATAGGAATTATCATCATACCTTAGATTTAAGGCCAGACCTTTGATCCAAGCTCTCCATTTTACAGGGATGAAACTAGAGAGTCAAGTGACTTGCCCAAGGCCACACAGGCAGTGGCAAAGCCAGGATTTCAATCTAGGGCCACTGACTCCAAATCCCAGGATCTTTCCACTGTGGTTGGTGCTCAGAATTATAGGTTCCCAGAGCTGGAAGAACCTCAGAGATCATCTGATAATAGTTAATAATACTAATAAGATAACATTTATACAGTACTTTAAGGTTTGCAAAGCACCTTACAAATATTATCTTATTTGATCTTCACAACAACCCTGAGAGGTAGGGGCCATTATTATCTCCATTTTACAGTTAAAGAAATTGAGGCAGAGAGAAGTTAAATGGCTCATTTAGGGTCTTACAGCTAGTAAGAGTCTGGGCTGGATTTGATTTGAACTCAGGTCTTCCTGACTCGAGGTCCAGTGCCCTAGCCACTGGGCCACCTGGCTGCCTGGGTCATTGAGTTCAAAGAATTAATCATCTATGACCAGTAGATGCACACTTTTATTTGAAGACTGACAGGGATGGAGAATGACTTTATCTTTCTGGGTCTCAGTTTCCTCAACTGTACAATGAGGGCTTTGGGCTCAATGGCCTCCGAGTTCCCTTCTAGTTCCAAATCTAGGGTCCCATGACTGCTTGGGGCGGCTGATTTTATTTGCGGGTGGTTCTGATTGTGAGGAAGTTTTTCCTTTGTTTGACCTGAAATCTGCTGGGATTCTAACCTGGCCCATAAAAGAGATGAGGTGAAACCTTCCCCTTCCGGGAAACCCCTTAAAGAACCAGCCCCAGTGACACCTGTCTGTGTTAGGCTGTACCTGGTTCCCCTTGCTGCTACTCCTGCCTGTCCCAGTCACCTCAGGTCGGCTTTGTATATGTATATTGCTGGCTCCTCCGTCAGAATGTCAGCTTCTTGCGGGCAGGGACTGCTTCAGGTTTTTCCTTGGTTTTCTCAGTCCCTGGCATAGTGCTTGGCACATAGCCCAGGTTTAATAAATGCTTGTTAATTGTGATTGGGGACAACTGAGGATTTCTGCCAGGTGTGGACTCATCCACTAGCCAACAAACATTTCTTAAGCACCTACTACACGTCAGGTACTGCACTGAGTGTAACGAAAGCTAAAAATAGTCCCTGCCCTAATGAGTTTACAATCTAATAAGTGGGAGAGGAGGACAGAAGAGAGGAGAAAGCTGAGAAAACAGTTCCTTGCTAGGAGTACCATAGTGAATAGAGCGTGGGGCTTGGAGTCAGGGAAACCTGAGTTCAGATCCTACCTCTGTGTGAGCCTGGGCAAGTGATTTAACTGCTGTCTGCCTCACTTTCCTCATCTGTAAAATGGGGATAAAAATAGTTCCTTCCTCCCAGGGTTAGTGTGAAAATTAAATAAAATGATATTTGTAAAGCATTTTGAAGACCTCGAAGCTCTAGCTATGATGATGATAATGATGAAGACGGTGGTGATGATGATGACAGCGTCACTATCTCTCTGATCTCTAACCAGACTTATGGTATAGATGGGTTATCTATCCTTCTAGCGTCCTGGGGCCCTTCTGGAGTCTGACTCTGTCATCTGACATGTATTATACCCTTCTCAAATTTATGTCAGCAACCAATTTGATAAGCATGTTAGCTATGCCTTCATCCAAGGTACTGATACAAAGGTGGAGGGCCAAGCATAGATCCTTGGGGCACTCCACTAAAGACCTCCCTAAAACTTGACATTGGCCTTCTCTGGGACACTGTGAAGAGCAGCCAGACCTGTCCCATTTGGGCCATGATGGTGAATGAGATGGTGTCTTGATACCAGCTTGAATTCTATGAGAGAAAAAGCAGTCTTGGCTTCTTTTTTAATCAGTCTATCAATCAATGACCAGTCTTAGGAGGTAAGCCCCTCAGCGGCAGGGACTCACTTTTGGCATTGGTATCTGGCACAGTGCCCGACTCATAGTAGGCATTTATATGTTGTTGACTAATTGAATGATTATTTCAGGTGTGTCTTCAACTCAGCCCCTTCTTGGTGGGGGGCAGGGGGAAGGCAGATGTAAACATGGGCCCTGGTCTCAAGGTGCTCGTGCTTTCCGCTGGGGACATATGACTATATTTAAAAAATAATATAAAATCCCATGCTAGATTAAGTGATAAATGTGAATAAGGCAGTATGATGAAAGCATTGACTTAGGAATCAGAGGACCTGGGTTCAAATCCTACCTCTCACATTTGGTGACCTTGGATAAGTCACTTAATCATCCTGAGGGTCAGTTTCTTCCCCTTGTAAAATGGGGGCATTGGACTAGATAGTGTCCAAGGTCACTTCCAGTTCTAGGTCTGTGATCTTATGATCTGTGGTTTTAGCAGCATCAGAAACTCCTGGTGTGGCAACTCCTTCCATTAATACAGATTTCTCCCCATAAATGACTTAGTAGAGAAGTTCTAATGAGACATTAGAGACACTTATCTGTGTGCCCAGGGTTGCAAAGCTAGTAAGTATCAGAAGTGGGATTTGGACCCCACTTCTTCTGGTCTCCTGGACTCCATTGCCTCAGTAGATTTTGGGGTGAAGGGGAAATGCTGATGGAATTCAGAGAAGGCAGAGGTCAGCCTTTGTTGGTATGGCTGGAGAAGGTGGGTTCAGCTGGGTAGTGAGGGGTGGGTGGGCTATGTTATTATTGTTTGTCTTTCATTCTCTCTCTCTGTCTCTCTCTCTCTCTCTTTCTCTCTCTCTCTCTGTCTCTCTCCTCTCTCTCTTTGTCCTCTCTCTATCTCTCACTCTCTCTCTCCTCTCTCTCTCTCTGTCTCTCTCTCTGTCTCTCTGTCTCTCTGTCTCTCTCTCTCTCTCTCTCTCTCTCTCTCTCTCTCTCTCTCTCTCTCTGTGTCTCTCCCCCCCCCCTTTTTGTTAGGCAATTGGGGTTAAGTGACCTGCCGAGGAAGTGTTATGTGTCTGAGGCCAGATTTGAATTCAGGTCCTCCTGACTCCAGGGCCGGCACTCTATCCGCTGGGACACCTAGCTGCCCCTCATCATTCATTCTCAAGAAGACTAATGGGCAATGAGTATGTGGAGGGAGGGAGGGCCCTCCTAAGGAGAGGAATTGCATAGACCGAGTCCCTGAGGTGGGAGTCTAGCAGAGTAGTGGGAGACACAATGAGATGTTAGTATGAGGAACTCTGTAAGTCAGAGGACCTGGATTCGAATTCCACTTTTGCTGCTTACTGTGTTCTTAACTTCGGGGAAGTCATGGTCCTTCTCTGGGCATGTTTCCTTACTTGTAAAATGAGGGGAGGTTGAACTAGATAATTTCTGTATTACAGGGCTAAGAAGACCTCCCTAAATGGAAGTAAGGGAAACGGTAGGTTACCCCCAGCCACTCCTAGAGGCAGCCGTGTCCCCCGAGGGCAGCGTGAGAGTGGAGGGGAGCTGTCCAGCTTAAGGTCATTAAGGGGAAGCATAAAGATGGGGCCGGATTCCCACATCCCAGCTCCAAATCACACATACATTTGCAAGCCAGATGGGAGTGTGATGCATTGTCTTAGACTCTTAAACTTCAACCCGATTCATAATTCTGGTATGTGTGATTTCCTCCCACCCTTGGTCCATCTCTCTTTGTCTGCTTTTGATCTGGACTCTGCCTTCTGCCTTCAGACCCTCTGCTTGGCACCTTGTATGTTTAGGAACCGACCCCTGACTTTGACCTTGGCCTTCTTGCCTGTTCTTGACAAGTTTGGTCAGTGTCCATAGGAGGCTGGGGGAGGGGGGGGGGGACCCTCAGATCCAGCCCATGGCAAGCTTAATCTCTCCTCCTGCTAGGATTTTATTCCAGGATGCTAAAATTTTGAGGGTGCCAACAATATTTTTTCTTTTTTTTCTTTTTTGAATAATATTTTATTTTTCCCCCAATTAGATTTAAAAACAATTTTTAACATTCATTTTTAAAAATTTGAGTTCCAGTGAGGTCATTTTCCATAGAGATTGAGGCGACCCTCCCGGGAACTTCCTTAGGCACTCAGTGGTTATCGATTCTTTCCCTTTTGTTGGAGAGTGAATCTTGAACTGATCCTTTGGTAAGTCTTTTTCAAAAATTATCAACAATCACCTCCATAAGCTTTTGAGTTTTAAAATTTGCTCCAATGATATTCTGTCCTGGTGGACAAACCCCATGTGAGCTCATTGCTAGCCCCATCATAGGTGATGGTGGGCTTTTCCTGGGCACACTTCCGCTGTCCCCGTTCAACCAAATTCCCAGCTGTTGGTCCTGTTCCCCTGGCTACTCAGCAGTGGCTGGGCTTTTAGCAGCACAGAAGCTTTCTGGTGGCCAGGTGCTTGTTTTCTTCCCCAGATGGTTTGCTTTCCAGGTGAACTCCCCTGCCCCAACCGTCCTTGGTCCCAGGTGCAAAAATTCCTAGTTATGGCTCTGGAGTGGAATGTCACAGTAAGTTTCCCATGTAGGACCTGTTGAGAAGATATTGAAGTCATTTTTTTCCCTCCCTTTCTATCCTCATAGATTTAAAATAGAAGGAACCTTAGAGATCATCGAATCCAGCCCACTCATTTTACAGATGAAGAAACTGAGGACCCCCAAAATCTAGTGAATTGTCTGAGGTCACACAGTAAGAGACAGATGAGATTTGAGGCCAGGATCTCTGACTCTAAAGCCGTGTACTATGCCACACAGCTCCCTGCTGTTCATTCTCTCCTCCTTATCCTAGCTTTTTTTTTTTTTGCATGTCTACATTCCATTGGCACTGTGGGTAGATGGGATTGTCAGAGAATAGTAACCCATGTAAAAGGCTGTCTAGACACCAAAGTGAACATCCTGTCCCTTCTTGGAAGGACCCAAGCAGAGCAATCTCTCCTGGCTGTGACCTGGATCCAGCTTTGAGCTCTGACCCTGTTTGGAGACTTGCCCCAGATATCTCAACCCAAAGGTCTCCTGCCTGGGACAGCGTGGCTCGGGGCCGCCGGCATAACTGGGGCTTCGGGCTGACAAACAAGGCAGGCGGCCACTACCTGAATCACCGGCATTACCTCCAGCTGGGAAATAGACTCAGAGAGAGGTGATGGAAGCCAGGACAGGGGCCGTATGGCTTTTTCTGTGAAGAAGTTGAAGCTCTGACATGTAGGGGAATCGCCAAGGGTGGAATGTGGGATACTACAAATGCAAAGTTCCTTGGAATAATTTTAATTTAATTTAATATTTATTTCCTTCCCATCATCCCCCACAAAAAAAGTTGAGGTGATTTGCTCAAAGTCACACAGGTAGTGAGTATCAGAGCTTGGGGTTCAAGACCAGCCTTCAGACTCCAAATTCAGTAGGCTGCTTCAGGTCAATGTGAGGAGCACTTTAAAGGAATTATTTGGAAATTAAGGGGCAGGTAGGTGGTGCAGCGGATAGAGCACCTGCCTTGGAGTCAGGAGGACCTGAGTTCAAATCTGGCCTCAGACGCTTGACACTAAACTAGCTGTGTGACTCTGGGCAAGTCACTTAACCCCAATTGCCTCACAAAAAAAGAAAAGACATTAAATGGCTACCTCATGTGACAGTGAGTCCCTGTTGTTGGTTGTGCTCAAAGGATTATGGGAATGGTGATTTAGGACCAGAAGAGACCTGAAAGCTTGTTTAACTGAATCTCCATCATTTTATTGGTGAGAAAACCTAGGCCCCTTTTATTCATAGCAACTAGTTCAGCTCTTGTAAATGGTCTATTGGGCAGGTAGGTGGCTTAGTGGATAGAGTAGTAAGACTAGAGGCAGGAAAACCTAAG